TTATTTTCAGACAAATCCAATATCATCTTACGGTTATAATAGTTACATTACATTGCCATAATACCATCATATCATACGTGGTGTTTGCCATAATGTCCCCATGGACCAATCCCCAAGCCTCGTGTACTTCCTGGGCTTGACTGTCCTCCTGCTCCTCCAGGAATCGGCAGTCAAAGGTTGGTGATGTTGGTGGAAAAGTGGAGTTGAACTCAGTTAACAAGAAGCTGCTAAGCTCAGAAAACCAGCAAAATATGTCGAAATAGTGAAAGTTTGTGATTCATACTATTAGTAGACTGTTGATAAGGCAGAAAAAAAAAAACTGCCAAACTGGCTGACAATGCTGTTCTTGAGCCTCACCCTGCCATTGCAACACATCCCAGTCCTGCGGTGGATGCAACTTCTTTTCATTCTCCGGCCTAGCTGAGCTACCAATTGGGCCATGTTTTTGTCAGGAAAAAACTGACAGTTCTCAGGATTTGGGGTTCCACATTTGAGACAACCCCTCTCAAATAACCGAGAATCAAGCGGTATAAATCTGTGGTGGCCTAACCTGCCGAAGAAAAAATAAGCGAATGTGTCCATGTTTACTTGGCAAGTCATCTACTAAAGGGGGATTCAGCAACGGGATTTGTGGCATCAAACTTCCGGCCAGTGCTCGGACGAATCCGGGATGAAGCATCAAACTTCCTGCCAATGCTCGGACGTCTGACAAGCCAAGAGACTCTCCGGCCGATTCCACGTCGAGACTGCTCAAAGGCCTGACATCATGTTCACGTGTCACAAACAGTTTCAGATCTTGAGGGAAGATGCTTCAACATGCTTTGAGGTGTCAAGAAAAATCAGAAAAATATCCCATCTTCTTGAAACAAAGAAACATCCAATCTGATTCGTCTAACCCCAAGCCGTTGTGCCAGGGTGGCCCATATTGGCCCATGATCAATTGATGGCTTGACCTCCAAACTTGTTGGTTCTACCACCATTGTCATTGCTCGTCCCATCTTCGGGAGTCTATCACCATGCAGCACTTAAGGTAAAAAAACTCCAGGAAGTCATTCGTGTTGTTGGTATGTGTATATATATATACTGACATCAACATACATGTATTCAGTCCACACACACAAAAAAAAAGTCTGCCTCAAAATGTTTGAACCCCGAACTAGATTCTTGAACTCTGCAAATAGATCTGCAAATCTTAGCCATTTCTGTACATCGGTAGCTCCCTTTGAACCATCCCACTCGTAGCCTTGAGAATCTCCACAAGCCCCGGCCGCTCCCCCTGCAGCCCCTGGCGGAAGCGTTTTGACCATGAAGGCATGGGGTAGCTGTGGTTGGGCTCCCAATTCAGATATTGATATACACATATATATATATAACTGTATCCTCCAAAAAATGAAGGTATGGTTCAAAGTTCCAAAGTTCGTGCTTTCATGGGACTGCACAAGATCTGTTGGTCCCCTCACTAAAGGCTTGACATGGCTTGACTGAGCCACAGACCACGACCGCAAAAGTCGCTTTCAAAATGTGCCTACCGTATCCTCCTACATGATTCTTCTAATGAAAATTATCGATTCAGGGTCCTTTTCCCACAGCTCAGTTCATCAAGAGATACCCCCTCTAGGACAACCTAGGCTCTTCCGAAAGGCCCCCCTTGGCTGTGTCCCAAAAATGGGGATACCCAAAAAATGCTCCGCGCTTTCGCCTTTCCGCCGGCAAGGAGCGCAGGGCAAGCGCGGAGACGGGTCGGAGGCGGGGCCACATGTTCTTCCAGGAACAGCAGCTGCTGTCTATGGCTAATGTCTTCGATACTCCAAGAAAATCTGATGTCATTGCTATCACCTCTGGGATATAATGACCACCTTGTGTTTGTTCAACTGTTTGTTCCCTTTTCCCATTTCGCAGTTGACAAAAATGAACCACACCACACCACGAAACCGAAGTTTAGTCATCAATGGCCCAAGGAAATTGATGCGAACATAGAATATGGAGATGTATTTCCCACCTCAACCGCCCATCATCGTGTTCAGAATTTCAGCTAACAAAGATGTATAGATTGAAAATTGAAAATACCCAGACTTTTGAGTTGCAAATCAAGTCATCTTCTCGTCGATGCTCATGGTTCTTCTGTTGCTTGTCGTGTGAAAGCTGCCAAAATTTTCTTCAAGTCTCAGATGGTGCTGATAATATCTCCAACCCCAAGTCCTTCCCCTTTCAATGCTCTAGGAAATACCAAAGCACTGCTGGGAGGCCCAAGAATATCTAGCTACGATTCGTACTACTGAAGCCCTAAGCAACGCTGCCTTTGTGATCTCTGGGGATCCCAATGGAGATTGGGCCCAGAACCGTTGGTAAACCCAGAAATCACCATCACTGGTTGCTGGTTTCAACCCCTCTGAAAAATATTAGTTAATGATAAGGATTATCCCAGATACTATGGAAAATAAAAAATGTTCCAAACCACCAACCAGATCAGAATCAGCACATCCGAATCTCGCCACCCCGCCTCTGCAGTTTGGCCTGAATCTCTTCGAAGCTCGAGGCTTTGCCAATCTGGAAGGCCAGGGAGTTGATCATGGGGAAACCACCCCTGGGCCCCTCCCCACAGTGCGCCGGCCTGCAAACCAGCCCCGATATGTTCACAGACCGTCCAAGTCCATTCGAACTGGTCCATGTAGAAAGGACCTAGGGCAGAAGCCATGAACTGTCTGTAAAACGATAGGGCACCTCAAACTTTGACGCTTCGGGCAACAAGATATGGTGGCCAAAGGTTTGAGTTGGACATAGCCTTAAGCCCCAAAAACGTTGTACTGTGTTTCTGCAATACCAACACTATAAACCGCCAACATAAGCACCCCAGCAATCGACGTTTTTGTGGTTCGTCTCACCAGTGCTTTCAAGAAAGCAAGTACCACTATGGCTGATGCATCTGAGAGCCCGGGCAGCAAAGCATGGGTATGCTGCACACCAGCGACTCCTCAAGCTGCTCTGAGGGCGAGGATGGATATGACTGTAATCTGGAGGCCTCAACAGTGTTGTAACAGAGGTTCAGTGGTGCAAAAATCACTCATATCACAAACCTAGTATTTGGGTTGTTTGATTGGGGTGGACTCTTTTTTCAGACACCAAACCAGGTAAACACTCCATGTTTCCCAGAATTCCTCAGTGACGAAATCTCAACCCAAGCTGCGATCCAAGTGTCTGTGGTGCTGTTCGCACCCATGTGACTCAGGAAGCATCGCACCCTGGAAGGTCATCCCAGTGATCCCACTGATCCCCTGCGGTGCTATGCACTGGATCTGTTTGGTTTGGGCCATTTAGTTTGGTTTTTATGGGATGATTCCATTTTTGGATACCCAAGTTTGATCCATGCTCCCTGCGAAAAACATCGAAAAACCCGTCAGATTGCCGCCTCTCACACTTCAGGACATCTGCCTGTTTGTGCTGAAGTGTTCACACCCTGAAAACTAGGGAGATGTACAGTAATATAAAATTTACCAACAAAATGGTGGATTCAAACGATGTAACCAGCAAGAACCAGTGACCTTTTTCACAATCCAATCCCCACAGTTTCAGTAAGACCAGGTGAAATCAAATGTCTTTGATTCCAGCTTTCAAGATTTTTTTGCCCAAGATTCTCTTGGGTTCAACCCCCAAACTTTGATACCAATCATCATTTATCAAGTATATTTATCAAGTATATCCCCATATATTTGATGCTTCAACCTCATATTTGGTCGTGAAATTTCCCCATACCCCCTGGGAATCAAACATGGCAATTGAAAATCCCTGTGGCCGTTCGCCATGGAGGTTTCGTTGGCAAAATCATCAAACTATAGCTGGGTGATTTTCCAGCAAGCCACGTTTGATGAGACCCGAGGGTAATCACCAACCAAATGCTGTGCCTGTGGTACGAAACGTTCCACCCGCCATCGCCCCAAAGCGGGCCGTTCGCTGGGAAGGAAGCTTTGCAGCTCGTCGGGTAAGACCTTGATTCCACCCCCAGGTCACCCCCATGGGGATTGGAGGGATGGAAATCAACAGAAATATTCACGGTTGTTGTTGATGCCCCGCCCAATAACATAGAATATATGGTGATTGAAGCAACCAATTTATGGCAGTGGCTCAGCTTTCTTGGGGGATTTCACCAAAGTTCTAGGGGTCTATATGAGATGTACTCGGATAACCCCTCAACAATAAGGGTTTGTGTCTTGTGCTTACCACGAACAACCACGGCAAATCTCATGAGGATTTGGCTGACACCTGATGAGAACCAAAAAACCCTTTGAAAGTCACTTGGGAATATCCTGGCAGCGGATCAAGTCGGTCAAGTCGTCGGTCACAAGGCTTGGATGGTCCAAGACAAAAAAGGCCCGAACTCTGTGCTACCTAAGAAGTCTTAAAGATTGACAAGCACCCAATTGGACATTGGAAAGTTGAAGGTAGACTTCAAGAAAACATCGCCTACCAAAGCATGTGGACATGCTGATACCTGCAACAGTTCTAGCCCATGAGTATCCTTACCATCGGCTTGTGATAGCACCAAAAGGAGTAAAAATCCACGTTTTTATCAACGATCCAAGGGGTTTCCGTAAGCCACAGCTCATCTGTGAAATCCAACAACAGGTAGACACAACTTGAAACTGGAGACTTGTTCATCAAATGAAAATGGGTCAATTTTCAAGGCACTGGGACCCACAACCTTTATTCATGTCTACTGTCAACCCATCCATTTTTGGGGCTCCGCAATTGTGACCCATAGCCAAATGCTGATCCTTTCACCTCACGTTTCCGTCCAAAGTACCCATAGGACACGCCATTTGTCACCACCATCTAGCGCTTTGGCTAGCTTTTCAATCATCTCCTCTCTCGTCCACGGATGAAATTTGCCAGGAATGGTAAGTCGGTAAGTCATTGGGAATGTTTAACTAATATGGTTAAAAAAAAAAAACATATATCATCCCCACTATGGGTTTGTCTAAAAAGGTGGTAGCTCTAACATACTTCCTTTTTGAGGGTATCCCTCATGTTCAGATGCACCCCTATTACCATAAACGGGCGGGATTCAAGTCATCCCTAAATGGTACTAGTAGGTGTTTATGGCATTGATTTTACCACAATATTGTCCTTGGCTTCCTCTTCAAAGTGAAATCAAAATGCCACCATTGACAAAGCAGTGTTTGCACATTCAAAAAGGCCTGGAACTTCCGAATGGACATGTGGGGAACTTCAGTGTCCATGAATTTTGCAAAGCCAAAAAAGCCGTGAAGCTGCCACTGACCCGGGTCCTTGCTTGGTCTCACAATGCTTCCAAAAGCAACATACACGATTGGACCCGTGTCTTCTTCACCTGCCAGCTGATCCAAAAATGCTCAGTCCAGCAAGGCGTCGACAGGAGTCAGCCGAGCTGCTGAAGAGCCAGTCCAAGAGATCTTTGTCAATGGGTGCCAAGGTCGCCTGCACGGCGGACATCTGAAGCCTGATGCATTGATACTAAGAATGATCATGATGATAATAACAACAATAATAACAATAACACGAAAAAGTTGCGATAATGATAATTTCAATATCAACATTCGTAGTAATAATCATCATGACAACAAACATGATAATGGTTAGGATGATCTTAATAATGCTGAGAACCTATAAATCCGAATAATACTCATATCATAGATTTGGCAAATCCCTGCCAAAGTAGGTCGCAACTCACTGCAAGGAACCCGCCCTCAACATCCGCGACGCACGGACCTCGAAGCTTTCACGGTTCCTCTGCAAACAACCGTTCTCCTGACACGCCGATCCCACAATGACTCATGGCGTTCTTGGACAATGCCAGGTCAAATGGAGTCGGAGCCTCTACTGTTGGCTGAGAAATCCTCATGCTTCCAGACCATCGTCAAAAAAGATGTGAATGATTCTAAGTTGCGTCCTTCAACAAAATTGGAGAGCTCAGAGTTCAAACTTGAAATAACCAAACTCTCCAGAGTTGGTTTGGTGACCAAAACTTAAAGATTCAGAGGGCAGGTCTCAAAATGTTCCAAAATGCCAATTGAATATGAATCTTTGACCAGGATATTTTGGGTATAGACTGTTTTGTGGACAGAACCAACCAAACCTGCTGAAATTCGACGGACCGACATCGCTCCATCGGTTTAGGAAGAGGCAGCAGCGGGCTGCAGAAAAGGATCCGCTCCCTGCCAATCAGCTGGCTAATAGCGGCTATGGACCCAAATTCTAGACCGCCTGACAAACATTCCTACTGTGGATGGAAGAAATCCTGCACCAGTTGATAGGTGGTTTATCCCATTATTTATAGGGTTTCAACCATCCAAGGTGGTGCAGGATTTCTTCCATCCACAGTATCATTACTATTGTACCGTACGATTTGGGTGGCTGATCAGGTCATCCAAGCTGTTCAGCCCACTGAGCTTGGCACTTCAAGGTCCGTTGGCCGACGACACTCCTTGCGCGCCAGGGGGATTTCAAGTGTCAACGGCAAGTGGGTCGAATGACTTGAAAAATCTTAGGCCTTTGCGGCTTGAAACACCAATTTTGGTGCTTAAAACCAAGGATTGACTAACAACAGGCAAGGACACATCATCAATTAGGTAAAGATGCGTTCGCCACTTCGCCACCTTTCAAAAGGCTTGGTCGGCTGGTACCGGATATAGTCTATAGAGATACATGTATACATGTGTATACTTGTGTATACTTGATATACGATTATACGTGCCTGTATGTATGTTTATACATGCCTGTATGTATGTCTGTCGGTATGCATGTCTGTATGTCTGTATCTCTGGTATCTCTGTATGTCTGTCTGTCTGTCTGTCTGATTGACCGACTGCCTGCCTGCCTGCCTGCCTGTATGTATGTATGTATGATCATACATGTTGCTACTATCTTTGATTGGAAAAACAAATGGCAAAAAGCTGCTCCTGGTGCTGGCATAGATCTCAGCGACATAATCATCCCGCTTCAGGTTCTTTAAGATAGCACTGGCCACCTTGCAAGAAGGATGCGTGATTTGGGGGATGAAGTCATTATCTAACAAAGAATTGGATGTGGAAGACTAGACATGATCCAATTCCGCCCGTCTTGAATTTTGGCCCATACCCATTTGAAGATAAGTTTGAATTTTGGCCCATACCCATGTGAAGATCAAGTTTGAATTTGCTGGAAGACCAACATCGTACCGCCCAACTACAGTAGCACAAAAGGACCTATGCACGCAAGCATGCTCGAGTTTAAGGGCCTCCGGTTCAAATATAGTGATAGTAATAAATGCATGTGAACTTGAATCAATCAAAGTCTGGCAATATAGTTGAAAGGCTGTGACGACTTTATCACAACTCCATAGTCCTTCTAGCAGCAATGAGATTTGGAAACTCCTGCACTTTCAATCCAACTTCAGCCCCAAAATTGATCTGCAATTGCCAAATAATAAATCAAATATGTATATATATATATACATACATGCTTCACTTCAGTGATTCCAACCTTCCGACCCTAAAAAATCACCAGCAAAAGATCTGGCCTTCAAAGGCACTTTCAGCTTTTTCGCCAGGGGAGAGGTCATGAAGCCCACCATCTCGGGTGGCATCCCAGCCACAGTGTTCATCAAACCGGTGAGGGTTAGCTCACTCGAATTCACCTCGAAGTTCGAAGAGGATTTGGAAATTTGGACGGTCAAAAGTCAAACCTCTTTTCGATGTTTCCTTTGAAAAAATCTACAGCAAGAACACCATCCAGCCAAAATCCAGAGATCCCACGAAGCCAGGGCGGCTCCCACCTGTGGCAATTGACTTGGATCAACTTTCTGTTCCATAGCCTTGATAAATTCCACAGAGACACCCATGACCTTTGCCATGATCTCTGGAGCGATTTTGATCCTTAGGTCACGATGGAAGGAGATCAAACATTTCGTAGACAGATTTGGAGCGAAATCCCTTGCCCTTTACACGAAAATTGATCCTGGAAAATCCACCGTTTGTAAAAAAGTCCTGCGGAAAAGCATAGCTATTTTAGTTTATTGGAGGGTACTGCTCCAAGTCTGAGAGATTCTTGGCAAGCAGAACTGCATTGACATCTGGATGAGTTAGCACGTGATGTCACCGTGATGTCCCCGCGATGTCCAGATCATTGCGGCGCAAGATTCTGTGGTTCACCATTGGACGCACCATCCTTCGCAGTGTTCTTGTCATAATCCTGTTCCGCTTCGATCAGCTGCAGTTTTTCGTTGGGGTCAAACATCGATCAGCTGAGACCCTACAAACCATCAGGTTTCGGAGTTGCCCACTATTCACCCATAGCCATTTCCAGCAAATTATCGCGATCAGTGGGCTTGGTCACTGGGGTTTGACTCAACTGTAGGGTACCAAAAAATCCAGTGGCAACATTAAGGGTCTCAATGAGTCTCTACCAGATTCAATATATTTGGAGCAAATCCCCCCTTTTTCAGAAATATATATATATCATATCGTATATAGTTGGTTAAATATATCCGCATTGTCTCCCCATTCAAGTAGCCCTCAAAAGTGAAAAGTGCCATCCCAACTATGCAACTATGATAAGTATTGATAAGTGCGAATAAAACCATTTTTCCAATCTGTTCTCGCTCTTTAAAGGTTGCTATATGTTTCCAGTCGCTCCATGGTGGGTTTTTTGTGTCGCTGACCCACCCTCTCCCGCCTCCGGAATTCCTGGTGAGTGCACCGGAAGCAGCCGGATCTTTTCAGCCGCACACCAAGCAGGCACCAAGTTCTGAGTTGGGAGATTCAGGGGCTAATCCCATCACCCGTTCATATTAAACACCCCATTGCATGGTCCCAAAAAAATGTGGAAATTCCCAACAAAAAACCATGGTTTCGTTTAGGGGGTGTTTAATATTAGGGGGAAAGGATAAAAATCTTTAAAAGCACCATCTTACGGGGACTTGATGGGATGTAATGGCATAGAATGGCATAGAATGGGATACATATTATATATATATATTATATATATATACTGGAATATATTGGGAAACTTCAGCACACGATCAAAAAAATGGCCAGTTTAGCCGGCGGGGTGACTATCGAAAATTGGGGTTTAATAAGTCTAATGTGATTTAACCATCCTAAAATGAGATTGATATAACCACCAACATATCACATACCCCAGCTTTAGAGATCCCAATTCATGAACAGATTCAACACTAAGCCACGCTTTCTGGGAGGGAATTTAATATTAGATGGAAGATGGAAAGAGATTACACCTCTTTCCAGATGTCTTGGGACTACTCAACCAGACATGAATCATGTCGCCCAAGTCAAGCCATATCCAAAGACTCACCCAACAATTGGTCACAAGCATCAAAGAAGTGCGCAAAAGGTATTTCACCACGTAGTTTTTCGTGTGCATGTGTGTGTGTGTGTCATTTCAATCCATTTCAAGCCTTCCTGGCATATCAAGCATATCGCTGCTAAGTCACATTCATCATGCAGAAGCCATCACACACGACGACCTTTCGTGAAAGCACAAGAGCTAGGCAGTAAACTCAAATTTAGATGGCCTAAAATAAAACAGGCCCAAAAAAAAAGCTCACGTTATCATCATTCCCATTCAGACTGGCCATCAGTAGGGTATCCCCAAATTGTCAGCCAAACCCACAAGTTTTGCAAGATGCAATTGGTACTTGAGCGCGCGACATCTGGCTTCACACTACCTGAAGAAAGCGGTTCTCAGGACCAATGGTATCTTCTTGAAATACCAAAAAGGGCTCTGTCTCAAAACCTGGGATACGCCAATTTATGGCGGTTTTGGTCGGAAAAAGATAGAAAACTTACTGTATCATTTTCGCCCTGACATTTTGAGGTTGCAAACTTTGAGAGTGACAAGCCCATTTGAGACCAATTTGTTTAAAGGAATTGCAAGGATGTCGAGCGTCTCGTCGGGCTCCACAAAACAGTTTTGCCATTTGAGGCGTGGCCATGCGCCCGAACAGTTCAGTTCAGTCAAGATGCAAAGCACACGGAAGCAGAAGGACATAAAGGCTGCCATGGGATCCTTGCATCACGCGATGGAGTCAGCATCGATGTAGCTGCAACGGACCCAACACGCACATGTTGTGAACAGTTTTGATTGGAAATTTAGGCAAGGTTGCAATAACGTATTCAACTTCCTCGGTCAAAAACTTTTACAACCGAAGGCATCTGCGCCCATCTCCTGCTTCTTTTCTGAGTACTCAGCCATACACCTGCATCAAGTTCAAAAAGCTGAGGCAGTTCAAGAGCTGATTTGCTTCCTGAAACTGAAATGCACTGGAAAACACTCCGTTCGCTGCCTGAACACATGTAGGAACAGTGTGGAGCCACCCTCTGATTGCTCCGTACCAGAGCTGCGCACAATGGCCCGAAAACCATCCTGTCGTGCCAGGACTTCATTTTTGGCGATGCCATGTGGTTCGAAATGTTTCAACCGACAAGCCGAGTTTGTATCATTCTCGCTCCAAGTTCTTAAGTTCAACAAACATCAGCCACCCAAATCCTTCGCTTCCCCGCTCCTCGATCGTTGCGAAGAAGGGAGAACTCACGCACTCATCGCCCTCGGTGACGTGTAGCTCCCCCAGGTTCTTGAGCTCTTCCTAGTGACGCATCAAGGGCAAAAAAACCGGGCAAAATGAGTACATATTATAGATTTGACATGTACAACATATACATTTATATATATAACACAATGTGTATTTACATACATATATTTATATATTTACATAGTGTATAATGTAGAATCTTTGGGTGTCCTGAGAGAAATTGTGACAATTACAAAAAATAGTGAGGTTCATGGGGTGTTACTTTTGCATCATTTGGGAAAGAATGTCTCGGCAATGCCAAAACACTCGTAACTTCCAGTCTGATGCACTTGTACAGGCTGTCCTCATCCTCCTTCATACAAGCAAAGTGTATCTTGTAGTTTGGACGCCCTTTAAACCATTGGCCTGTCAAGTTGAAGCGAGAATCACTCCTGCTACGAGACTTGTTCCCAACAGGGCAAGCAGCAATTGCTGCTGGACCGGTCCTCATTGGATTTCAAAAGAACCAAATCATGCTGTCGCTGATTCCTGAAGGAAAGATCAACAGAATGCCAATCCCTGCCTATTCTTCGCAAGTGCACAATGTGGCCCTGGCAACACACCGGGCCAGTGCCTTCAGACTAAGTCACTAGGCTAGGACTTCATGGTGAAACATCCCGCCTTCCAAGGGATGGTCAAGAAAAGCACGGTGCCTTTCGCCCTGCTGGGATTCAGCCAGAAGGGTTCACCTGCGGCGCCGGCCAAGCTGGTCATGCGGGAAGTGAAGTCAACATGTTCCGTCTCGTCTCATGAAATCCGACTCATGGAAGCGCCAAATTGATCCAAATTGGTCATTGATCATTGTGAGACCGTTCAATTTCAAACCTCAATTGCTTAGAGCCATGGTCCTATCTGTCGCATTCTGTCCAACAGGAGTCCCAAGTATGGCTCTTCATTTCATCCACCATGACCAGCTTCCAACATCTCCCCGGTCGGGATCGCCTTCTTTGCAGGGCACCACCAGATCTCGTCCCTGTCATTGCATCCAGGGATGATTTTCTCGCCCTGATGAAGCCCCAGTGGCTAGTTGTGAAAGATATAATGTACGTAATTTACATGAACAGTTTGCATTTTTACGAAGTTCCACCCGGTTCTGCAGGTGCCTTGAGTTTCAGGCTCACCCAGCCAGTGCTAGGTCCATCACCAGAAAGCACTTCAAAACATAGACGTTCGCCTTTCAGCTCCTCACTCGCTGTCTGGACACTTAGAGAAATTGTTCCACTGGCAGGTTTTTTTCCCTCTTAAAGAAATTGTTCGAAATCAAAAACGATACTAAGTCCACCTTTTCAGGCTTTACTGACTAATTAATATCTAAATATATGGGTGTTTCCCAAAATGAAAATACCTCCAAATCATCCATATTGATATTCCATTATTATAAACCATCCATTTTGCTAAAATACAATATATCCCAGGAACTATCCATTTTGGATGATTTGGATATATATATATATATATTATATTATATATATATATGTTTGGATATCCATTATCTTTTAATGGAACCATCCAGCCATTGGGATCTCCCAGGAACCGAGCCATCGGCAACTCCTTCTGTCGAACGATGGCGCCAGTGGCCAAGCGAGACGGCAGCTCCGGCGAGGTGAGTTTCTCACCTCAAAAAATCCGAGAGCTGCCCGGGTCACCTCCAAGCGTCCAGTAATATATTACATACAAGATACATATATAAGATACATATGTAAGATATATATATATATACATATATGTATATTATAATATATAATATACACATAATTATATACACTACATAATTCTAATGTAGTGACTACATAGATATTACTCTGCATGTGGGTAGTTTCATATTTCTATAACTGAAATCGTGTCAAAGGGTATGGCGTTCTGCAAATGTCCTGCCTTCTCGCACCAGGATGCCTCCCCCTGCGGCTCCCCCCACCACCTTGCAGGCGTGAAGCGACGAAAAATTGGATACCGAGACCGAGACTCTACGTCTCTACGTGAAAGCCAATTGCAGGATTGCTAGTCATACAGCCTCCCAAAGCGCCATAGAAAATCAACGGAGCAGCCACTGGCAGCCACTGACTCTGATTGAATGGATGATAACTTGACCAGGAAAGCCATTTCGAAATGAAACGATGGCCCCAGTGGTATGAGAATCAAACCACAATCTGAACAGAAAAAAACGCGCAAGAGTGACTTCAATCGTGTCTTTTTGTTGGTCTTTGAATTCTGTAGACTTAGAGAAACCACTTCAAAATCATGGTCCTGTTTCAGATTCAGAAGCTTGAGCCGGCGCCAATTTCGGACGGAAGGAGACGTAGAAAAGCATTGGTTTCTGCTAGAGTCAACCCTTATTCTCCAGTTGCATATAGCAAGCAGTGTAGAGTCTAGAGCACTTCTTGGTCAAAATTTAGAAAAAGTGCCAAGCACTCCCGGGTTCGTCCCGCCCCAAACCATGGGCTAAGAGCAAGTGGTGGTGCACCCGGACACCGGTGCGCATCCATTCCATGAAGGTGTCAAAGTGCTCCTGGGCTCCGGTTCACTTGCTAATGTCATTTGTTTTGGTCATATCTCAATTCAAGAATGGTTCAATACCCATATATACCCATATGGTTTCGTCTAAAAATGGGGTACCTGTAAAACCCAACGGTTTCTCATCAATATGTGCAGTTAAAAATTCGCCCTTTTGGTTGTATTTATGCCATTTTTGGTCAAACTCAACACTAGAAATCAGAGATTTAGTCATTCGAATAGCCAAACATGATTTCCCCATTCAAATAGCATAAAATTATAGTCTAGTTCTACAACTCTTTACATTGGGATGTTTACCCCCAAACCATGGAAATCTGGAAGAAGAAATGCACCTCCGCATCCTGTGGGGCAGCATCCGAGTGCTCAGGCTTGGCCCTGAGGTAAACCTGCCACGGCGCAGTTGTCATGGCCGTGGATTTTCTAATTGATTTAAGGCAAATTTTGAAAGAAACCATGATGTTTTTATTCATAAGTCATAAGTCATAAATCCTGAATCCTAAATCATAAATCATGAATCATAAATCATAAATCATAAGTCATAAGTCGTAATTCATAAGCCGTAAGTCATAAATCCTGAATTTTAAATCATAAGTCATAAATCATAAATCATAAATCATAAATCATAAATCATACATCATAAATCATACATCATAAATCATAAATCATAAATCATAAATCATAAATCATATGCATCATATGCATCATATGCACCATATAATTGTTTCCTTCATCCAATTTTGCGAAATGTGTAAATCGTTCACCCAATTTCGCCTGAGGAGCACGGCTGGCTGGCGCCAAGCGGCTGGTCAAGCCAAAATTCAGCACAGACCTGGGACATCAGAGGGAATCCACGACCTGAAATGGTTGAGGAGTGTGTGAAATACTCCGTTGAAATGTTTTCCCAAACCCAAATCTGAAAGAATGGTGGATCCCGGCGCCTGCGGTGAAAAGGACGGAAGTAAAATGTACTAAAAGTGACTTGAATCCCCCCGGCCCGCCACGTTTCGCCTGTTGATCACTGACGCCACGGCCTCGGGGACACAGGGTGAACCCAGTGTCGCCGTGAAAGTCCCAATGTTCTATGGTTGATCAACCTGGTTGACACTGATTGTACATATTGATTGTTGCCCAATTACTTATGAATAATTCAATCAGATAGGGACAACTATTAGAACAAACCACTCGCAAATTCACATTTGTGCGCAGTCAATCCAGTCAGATACTAGTTTTAAGTCCCCAGCAACCACTGCCAAAGCAAAAACAATGCCTCGGAAAAGCCTCCGGGACAAAGCCCTGCCAGGGAAATGGTCGTAAGATGCAAAGCCAAAGCTGGAAACAAATTGTCACCAAACGAAACAGTTTTTGATGTTTTTGCCAAACAAATAAATCGGAAAATGTGAAAATCACCGTTCACTGTTTGGTGTATACATTTGGTTGTGCATTCAAAACCCGACCTGGAGGCATGCGAGCGGATTTGGGACAACGCCATGATGGTTCGAGCCACGCAAAACTGCAATGGGGTGTGGGCCGTTTTTGGATGCCGTAGGATGGTTTGAGCACTATTTATTTGACATGACAATTCCATCGGTTGTCTCTTCGCCCCATTTTTTGATCATACAACCAAAACGGATCCGTCACAGAAAAAATAAGCCTCGCTGGTATCCCCAAAAGCCGCAACGTTTTCATTTTACAAATCTTTCTGAAGCGTGCTCCGAAGCCAAGCGCTGGAAACACCTCAGCTGGGTTTCCATGAGTTAAATGACTGCAAATCCTGTTGAACCTGACGTGGCTCTGCTCTGCACCAAAGCCTCCCAGACTTTCTCCGGAACCTTCTCCGGAACCCTGTTGAACCTGACCTGGCTCTGCACCAAAGCCTCCCAGAACCCCGGTCTCCTGTTGAACCTAACCTGGCTCTGCACCAAAGCCTCCCACACCTTCTCCGACACCTTCGCCGGAACCCTGCTGCGCCTGACCTGGCTTTGCACCAAGGCCTCCCAGACCTTCTCCGGAACCTTCTCCGGAACCCTGTTGAACCTGACCTGGTTTTGCACCAAAGCCTCCCGGAACCTTCTCCGGAACCTTCTCTGGACCCCTGTTGAACCTGACCTGGCTTTGCACAAAAGCCTCCCGGAACCTTCTCCGGAACATTCTCCGGAACCCTGTTGAATCTGACGTGGCTCTGCACCGAAGCCTCCCAAACCTTCGCCGGAACCTTCGGAACCTTCTCCGGAACCTCGTTGAACCTGACCCGGCGCCTGCACCAGTGCACACCGGAGCTATTCTAGGCTGAAGACCCCATTAGCTTACGCTGTTCGGGAAAAAAATATGGTCCCAAGGTGAATTGCCAAAATTGGACTCTTTAGAATTGGACCCCATACCAATGTGAATGTCCAATTTTTGGCCATGGTCATTGCCAAAATGGTATTCAAGCACAATCGATCTCGACTGGTACTAACAGCACTGGATGGCAATGTTCACGCATGGCAATGATGGCGCGACCAGCCGGCCAACGTATTCGGTAATTAAATATGATTCATAGTAGAAAACTGGTAAATTTGCTCTCAAACGTTCACATTTTCCGAAATTATATATCCCATACTTCTTACATTGGGACAACATGTGACCGCATCTGGCAGATCAACATTTCCATTGATATGTACTGGATGTATTGGCAGATCGGGCAGCGTTAGACAAGTAAATTGTCTGGAACTAAACAAACCAGTCAAAGTCAAAATACAGCAAAGACGTTTCAAAAGTGTCAATCTCCCCCGCAAAATCATTTTGAAATCACATCATTATAAATTTCAATATGTGCACATTATTCGCTGAACCACTTTCCAAATCATGTACTGCAAGACACTCAAATGAAGCAGTTGCAGACTGTTTTGATCTGGGGATTGTCACGCAGCCGTGCACAATACTGAATGCAATGAAATCGACACGGCCGATTCCCAGCACAATCAAGGAGTGTCAATAGTTCAATTGCGACCGGACCACTGCCACGTGACACCCATGCCTGGGCATTGTAGAACCAGTTCCATCAACTTGCACAAAAGCAATTCCAACACAGTGTCTTGTACCCACACACAAATTTAGTTACATTTCTGCAAATACTTCACGGATAACGCCAACATGACATAGTTCAATTTCAATTTCCAAAGCGCCACGCACCACGTTGTCTTCAAAAGGTTTGTCTGTCCTACCAAGCATCCCATAAGTATGCCAACCCAGATTTTGTGCGAAACCCATCCCGAAAAAAATGTGCGAAGCAAATCGTTCCCCAAACAGTGTGTCCACACTCCGGGGTTCTTACGGTAGCTGTTCAAGTTGGTGCTTGATCAGAGTGCTGACTCTGGGGCGCGGCATTTTCCGTTTATCTTTCATCCAACCGCTGCTGAGCCACACAAAGAAAATGATTTGCAAGAATGTGGCTGTCAATCACTTGAACTGAGTGCACAACTCTGTAACCTGCTGAAGGCTCATCTCTTTTGAAACTGGGGTTCACTCACAGCCTGATGTTCTCCCCATTTTTCAAAGAGGTCTGTGAGAGCACCCCAACATATTGGACCATCAACTTCGCAACGTATGGCCCCTGCATCAAATAGCTTCTTATAGTCAAACCTCGAAGGAGAGTCAGCCATATTCGAGTCAGTAGGGACTTAGTAGGGACCCTGGCATACCATGGAGTGATCTGCATAATGCACTCCAAGGCCATTGTTGCTATAAGGATCTTGCGAGCTGTCACATTCCGAGAAACGCATGAAATAAGGGTATCGCGGACACCATTGTTGTCAGTGTAGATCACAACCGCGTCTGTGATCCTTCTTCCCCAAAGCCAAAACGCACAAAACACTGCAAAGAACTCGCATTCAAATATTGCTGTCTGCCTGCCACAACATCACTGGTCAGCTTGTGAGAAAAGAAAGCAACTGGGGTCCCAGTCGGGCCAAATAACACCGCCCCTATGCCAGCAACGACATCGCCTGCTTCAACATCATAGCAGGCGTCGGTTTGGAGGAACCAGGAAACTGCTGATGCAGGTTTGGGTTCACGTGGTCTTCCCTCCTGTAGCAGGCACCTGTGCAATCTGAGCGCAAGGAGCACGTCATCTGAAAGCTTTGCACCACAAGTTGAATAAGCCTGCTGCGAGACAGCCGCATGCGAACAACGGGCTATCCGCCCAAAAACATTGCCCGAAGTGAACTGCAGTCGCCCTCTAAGGCGTAATGCTTCTTGCTTGGACATGTATCCACGTTGAATAACTTCTCCCAAAAACTCAACAAGTTCACGCCGTCTGGTTTCTGTGTTGCCAATTTCAACAAGTCCTGAATGCAGTGTCGACACATTGATGTTGACTCCAAGAGCCTGAAAAGACGCCCCAAAAGGTGGGGCCTTGTCACCAGCTTCAGCAAAACCCCATCCAAGAAGTTTGAAGTACATGTGCACACATGACGCAACCGAAGAGCTTTCTGAAGAAGGGGCAACACTGATGAAATCATCAAAGTAATTTGTCATCAAGACTTTGAACTCCTTCACCAAGACGTACCAAAGGCTATGCGAGATCCGAAGAAAACTGTGCACTGATCGCACAGATCCAAAAGGAAGTGCAAGCATTGCAGAGCTAAAAAGTTCAAGGGAACCCGGCTTTTGAACAACAATGTAGGCATACTTCTTTGAAGAAGGCTTCACAGCGCACTGCTTGTACGCCCCAACAAGATCAAAAGTCCTGCCAACCCAAGGATCCTCACTGCCGAGCTTCGACATCAAGTGAACACACATTGCAGAGAAAACATCTATTGTATGAGGCTTCGGACTCTCACATGTCTGAACGCTGGCATTGACTGATGATCGAGACAAATGGTCAATGCACCGCACCTTCTGCCCTTGAAGTATGCCAAACCTGCGGCTAAGTGGACAGTCATCAAGGATGTCACTTAGAGGAATAGGCCCAACAAGAATTCCTGACTGAACTTCATCCATTGTTTTGCTCCACACCTGGTCAATGAAATTGCCATCAGTTGCACCAACAAATTGCTGGCGCAAACCGCTACGTTCTCGGCATGCAATTGTGTGCAACTCATCCAGTGTCACCATCGCTGGCTGAAACTTTGTTGGCCATAGGCCAGTCTTTTCCACGCTGCCCACCAGCTCTGCACCGCAACGCATCTCATCAATGACACCCATGTCTGGGTAATCAACTGCACGCAACATCTTCCCACAGCAGGAGGTTCTTACCGTTCACAACTTGTGCAACTTCGACATCCATGCTTTGCTTTAGCTTGGTCTCATCACCTCTAAGTTCAACCAAACGTCTCAACCAAAAACCCAACTTGGCCGCTCTGAACTCCACACGCTCTTGGCAAGTTGAGGCTTGATGAAAGTCTATAGCTGCCTGAAGCACTTCAGGTAAACCAGATTTTACAGTGTTTGGGTGGCCGAACTTGACCATCTGCTCAACGAACTGCTCTTCCGTCCAAGGGGTACCCCATATCTGGGTCTCGGTGGGGCCCTCTTTGGTGGTGGCTGCTGGTTGTGGATACACCTCAACAAAACTATTTACATTTTCTTGGCAAATTTGCTGCTCCGACACAACAGGCCCCCCATATAAACATGAAGGAGGAACCTTTTGGCAGTGTTGTAGGCGCATTCAGTGTTGGAACTTCCAAAGATGCTGACAACTTGGCCCGTAGGACATGTTGAGGCAGGTCTGTTTGAAACCCTGACAAGGCAACTTTCGCAGCATATGTGGGTATCAAAGGTGGCAACTTGCTTGGGCTGGACTCCAGCTTGCGCCCTCAGAACTGACAATGTTGCATTGCGGGACTCCCCAATGGCAGCCAATGTTTCTGGCGGCAAACGTTGCCCTGATTTTGCAAAGCAACAAGAAACTGAGAAGCTATGGCCCTGGCCAGCGGTGTTGGATAGGCTGTTTCCAACGCAGTTGCAAACTTGTTCGATTGAACATGGATGCCCCACTTGTCATGTTTGTGAACTGCAGAAACACCAGTGCACATGCTGTTAATCACCGCAAGTTTAGCTGCGTTGAAACCCAGCATTGTACGTTTAGGACGTGTGCTGCCATACATGCAGGATTGGAAAGTTGTAAAGGACATGAGGTGGATAACGGATTGAATGACGGTTGTCTTCCAAAATAAAGAAAATTGTGGATTCTCAATGCAAAACAAACATCCATTGTCTGTGGCCCATTGGACAAGCTGGGACGTCAAAAAGTATAACTTTGAGTAGTCGGGGGTTGGCTACAGCCTGTTAACCTCTGTAATCATTAAAAATACAAAATTAATACAAGAAAAATACAAACCCAAATTACAAAAAAAAATACAACACTGAGCAGGGCAAAATTATCAACAAAAGGAAAATACAACATACATTGATGGATTCGTGGTTTTGTTCTTTGACGGCCTGTCTAAAGAACGAAAATAATACAAAAGGACAAAGTGCAATCTGTGAAGGACCGGAAAAATACAAAAAAATACAAAAATACAAATTGCATTTTTGGACGTAATGGAAAAATACCAAAAAAAATACAAAAATGCAAAGTGTATTTTTTTGTATTTTATTTGTATTTTTTCGTTTTTCTTTTGTATTTTTACAAAAAAAAATACGAAAAAATAGAAAAAAATACGAAAAAATACGAATGCAATTGCTCAAAAATACAAAATACAAAAAAAAAACGAATCAACAATTTCAAAAATACAAAATACAAAAAAAAATACGAACCCAAAATTTCAAAAATACAATATACAAAGAAAAGACAAATTCAAAAATAAGCCAAAGAGCCAACCCCGTGTTCACTGTGGAAATCAGGAAACAAATTGCAAAAAAATACAAAACCAACCACTTGTATTTTCCAAACCCTGCAATTCTGATTTTGTATTTTTGATTTGTCTGTTTTTCGTATTTTTTCTATTTTTAAATATGGGAAGAAGACCCTTCTGTAGCCACCGCGGACTACTCAAGTATAACTTGTTCGCCTTGGAAACCTTCAAGCGGTCGACAAACTTTCAGTGGGGCAGCCCATTGGGATGCTTGTCTGACCTGAGTGGCTTCGGGTCACCAGGCGCCTTACGTTTCAGCAGGATCGACCGCGCTCTGAGGCTGTCCCACAAGGAGGAGCTATGAAAATGCCGACGACATTCTCATTGTCAAGCCATTGCATCAGCAAACTAATGCCTGTATCTGTGGTGAGGTCTGCGGTGACAACTTGAGCAGCGAGGGCGGGCCCACCCCCTTCGTCGAAGGGGGGCTTGAAGGGGGGTGCTTAAGGGGTGGCTTAAGGGGTCATGAAGGGTGCCCCCCCTTCCCGGGTGGAAGCCCAGCTACCCCTTGAAACCCCGCTTGAAGCCCCCCTTGAAGACCCTCTTGAAGCCCCCCTTTGAAGCCCCCCTTAAGCCCTCTTAAGCCCCCCCCTTAAGCCTTCCCTTAAGCCCCCCTCAAGCCCCGTCCAAGCCCCCCCTTAAGCCC